TTTTCGAAACGAAAATTCAAACAAATATTGCAGAAGTGTATAGCATTTCAAACATTTTCATGTAGTAAAATGATACAAGTGGTAAATTGTATTCACTGGTCGCCCAAAATAAAAATAAATCACACCAGTACACCAATATATTTTATAAAATGTATAAAAAAAATGGAAACTTTTTAGTTATTTTAAGTAAAAGTTCATTACTCCGGTATAGGAGAATTCATCATTCTGAGAAACATACCTTTTTTTCTCTATTATTCGTCACGTAATTTAGTTATTGTTCTGATGCATGAGAAGCATATTGAGTAATCACAACTTTTAAATTTAAGAAGAAAAAATAATATGCATGTTATACTATGTTAGACAACATGTCTTAGTCGCTCTTTAAGATTCTCGGCTGGAACGACCAAAAGTTAGGGAGTATATTTCTAAGTTTATAAAACAAATACGTATTTATTGAAATTTTTAAACTTTAAAGACGCCTCGATTGCTTGAAATAATTTACTAATACAATTAATAATAAATATATATTTTTGAAACTAAATGATTATAGACACGAAACATTATTCCATTAATTCGATAATTCCTAGTAATAGTGTATAATATCCTATACTAGGACCTATAGTATTATCTGGTAGGTATTATTAATGTGTCTGTTCGATCATAATTTATTAATATACAAAAATAACGCACATAGCCAAAACATAAAATTGCGGATAAATGATTTTTGTACTTGTAGAAGATGCTGCAGTCACAAATGAATGATCACTAATTGAATCGGCTTTTCAAACAATCGTAATCCTATGCAAATAATTAATACGTTGCCAGAATAATGATTATCAACTTGCTGTCAGTGATCGTAATTTGTAGAGTTAAAATATTATACAATTTTATATTTTTAATTTTATATTCTGGTATAATTATAATAATTACCTTGCATAAAGATTTGCGAGATTTATCGTTCGGTGCGAATAATATATTATTATAATATTTAGGTAGTAATGCGTCACAACAATATAATGATTGATGATGCAATCGAAAAGTACGAAATAATAATTTATTTGTAAATCAATTTAGATATTGTTACTTTGCCCTATTTAAGATAATATTAATTTTTATTGAATAATAAATAATTCTAAATGTTGAAATTATATAAGGAATATAATACATACATGCTATATAACTTGTCGAAACAATATAACAATTATTTTTGCCGAGTACAGAATAACACTATATCTGTATGTAGTATTATTTAGATTAATATAAATTAATTTAATTTTAATTAAGTACAATCATATTCATATAAGTATGTTAATGTTCAAAAAATAGATCTTTGAATTTTTGTCTTAAATTTATACTTTTATATATTATTTGAAATAGGGACCTAGGTACAATAAAATATTATTTCCCTAGCCATTTAAATTAAAAATGCAAGTTCACTTATCTTATATTCACTTTTCTATTCAAGTAAGCCAAGTCACATTGCTATAGTAAAATCTAATAAGTACTACAATAGTACCATTCATTATAAATATTTATTTTATGATGTATATTTATGTTTATAGTCAAAGGTACTTCCTATACACTTTATATTGATTTAGTTTTTTATTTATTTTATTGCAATATGAATAAATTACAATATTTAGTTGTACATAATGTAAAACAGAAAAATATTAAATTATTAATTGTTCAATAAATGTTTTTTGTAATATATTTAAAAATAATATTCAAGTATTATTTATTTATTTTTTGTCATAGGTTGGTGTAAACAGCAATTGCAGTTAAAGTGATCAAAATCATGGATTATATTGCTGCTATTGACGTAGGCACAACTAATTTGAAATGCCAAATATTTTCACCAGATTTTCGTGTTGTGGGTTCTTGTATTCAAAAGGTATTTATTTTTATATTTATATTTGTATTTGTTTATTATGACTTATGATAAAACATTTTGAATTTGTATTTCGCTGATTTCTAGACTTAATATATTTTATTTTTGTACTTTTAAGTAGAAATTTAAAATGTATAAATGTTAACAGGGTGATTGTGCATGCTCACCACTCTCTATTTTTTTTCAATAATGCAGTTATTCAAAATCCACCCCCAAGTTTTTTCTGTCATATGTCCTACTTAAAATGTGAATATTCAATTTTTAATTTTTTGTACAGGTTAATATATTAAAACCTTTTCAAGGCTGGGAAGAAATTAATCCAAATGAAATACAAAGTGGTGTAAAACAAGTTTTACAAAATGCATTAAAAGGTTATTACTTATAACTAATAAATACTCGTAATATTGTTATTTTTAGTAATACTAATTTGCTATTTAATACTTGACTTAAGTATATTTTTACTCATCCACCATTGGATTATACATATTATACTAAATTTATTATTTATTACCAATAAAATATTGTAGTAACTTCTAGTATAATTTATCTAGTATATTTATCAGTATAATTGAAAATGTATCAGTAAATGTATGGTTTATTACCAATCAAATATTTTTGTACCTTCTATTATAATTGTATTGGTTGATAATAAATAATAGAAAATTTCCAAAAAAATATATATTCAAACTAAAATACGATAATATGTTTTTTTTTAATTCAAATCCTTAATTTGAAACTTTTTTCTTTTGTTTATTATTAACCAATACAATTATAATAGAAGGTACAAAAATATTTGATTGGTAATAAACCATACATTTAGTTTATTACATGTGCATACTATTATGTATCATATGATACATGTGTAAAAAATATTAAATACGGATGTTTAGTTTAATCTATTTATTTTTTAATAGATGCTGATCTCAAGTGCAACAATATAAAAAGCATAGGTTTGTCTACACAGCGGAACACATTCATAACTTGGAATAAGAAAACTGGTGAACATTATCATAATTTTATTACATGGGGAGATTTACGTTCAAATATAATAGTTAAAGAGTTAAACAAATCAATAACCTTCAAAGTAAGTATTATATTATAAATATTAATTTAAGTTTTTAAAAAAAAATTTAACCATACTATTATTATTAACTCAACTAATATTTTCACAATTTTTAGATAATCAAATATATTTCAAAAATATTATATTTAATATTTGCAACAAAACAACTCAAAGTTATAAAATCATTTACATTTTCAAACATACAAGTATTATTAATTTAATATGTTATTTTATTTATAATGTTTATCATATATTGAATTATCTATGATTATTGGTTACAGATTTTGCCTAAACTTTTATGGTTATTACAAAATAATCGGAAATTCAGACAAGACATAAAAAATAACGAAGTACAATTTGGCACATTAGACACTTGGTTATTATATCAAGCCAGCAATGGTAAACTACATGTGACTGACGTATCGTGTGCTAGTGCTACTGGATTGTTCGACTTGTTCACCATGTCTTGGATGCCTAATCTTATGTTTCAATATTTTGGAATCACGAATACTATACTTCCAAGTATTTGTGATTCAAATGTATTAAAGTACCTAGCTGACAACAATATAACTTGCAAAATCTCCAATATTACAATTGCGTGTTCAGTGAGTTAACTTCTCTGTATAGCTAATCATTAAACCGTTCAATTATAAATTAATATCTCTTAATTATTAATAAGATTCATTATATTATAATAATATAGCTTGCTGACCAATCAGCATCACTGTATGGAACCGGTTCTTTCTCAAAATATACAGCCAAAGTTACAATGGGAACCGGAATGTTTCTAGATATTAATTGTGGTTCATTACCGGAAGTATGTTTAGGTCAGATAGAATATTATATATTTTTCATTATTATTACCATTAGTTTTTATTGTTATTGTAAATATATTTTATGTCGACTTAAAATAAATTATCTGGAAATGTGTAACAATCAATTACTAAGCACTTATTTTGAGTTATCTATTTTAGTAATCTTTAATATGTAACTAATGTCAGAACACATTTTTAACAGGATATTATCCATTGGTGGGTTGGACATTTAACGATGATATTTGCTTTTCATTGGAGGCAGTTGATTACAACAGTGGATCATTAATTCAGCTTGCAAAATCTATTGGTAAAATGTGTATTGGGAGAATTTAAATATAATATGTGAAAATATAATTCTATTTTTTTTCTTTGACATAGGTGGTTTCAATAATCTAAAAGAATTAAATATGTTGAAGCAAGGAAATGAATTTTCAACTAACAATTTATTATTTGTATTACCTGAATCTGAGGTGGTTAAGTGATTCTATGATTTAGTACATAAGTACTGTAATTATATAACAAAAATTATTTTTCAGCCATCTAAGTCAATAAGAAAAGATTACAGTTTTATTGGTGTTACAACGTGTTCTACAAAATCAGATATGGCAGTATCTATTTTGGAGTCTTTTGCATTTAGAATTAAAAAAATACTAGATAATTATCACAATGAAATGCCACAAATGGTGTTAAATACTTTATGGTAATATTTTTTTAACTAATAGCAAAATATTTAATAACCTTGTATTACTCAAAAGCTTTGTTTTTATATAATATGCAATATATATACTGCCATAATACCATTAGTTATTAACTCATTTAAAATTGTACCTATTGTTGTTTAGGGTTGATGGTGGTGTGTCTCGGAATGATTACATTTGTCAAACAATTGCTAATGTGACATCAACTACAGTTGTTAGAATGAAAAACAGTAACAGAACTGAAGTATCTTGTTTAGGTGCAGCTTTTATGGCTGGACTGTCTTCAGGTATGTGCTTAAATGGACTTATTTTTGCTAATCCAAATGTTCACCTAATTTTTTTTATATTAGGTGTATGGACAAATAAAAGAGAATTGATGAACTTCAGAAACAGAACTGATCAAAAATTTGTTCCAGATAATAATGATTATTTTGCAAATGAATATAAATATATAAGATGGTTGTATAACCAAAAGTGTTTGTATTGAAAATACTAACTTTTTTATTTTTTGTATGAAAACTAAACAAAACATGATGTACAATCACAGAAAAAACAAAACCGTTTAATACATAAAAACATTATGACAAAAGCTTACATAACAACCTAGCGAAAACTGTAATACCAACTATAACCTGGATTTTGAGTCTTGAAATAAAGTTTTATTTTCAAATAGTTTGTTGATTTCTATTTGTGTGTATCCAATACTTTCAAGTATTTCTCTTGTATTCTGTCCACAAACTGCAGTTGGTTTATTAGAACTTGAAACACCAGGAGTAACGCTTAATTTTGGAGCTGGAACAGGTACCACAATTTTATCTTTCCTCAAGTATGACTTTCTACTTGCGTTATGTGGATGCTGGTCAACCTCGTCCAGCTCTAACACAGGAGTCACACAAGCATCTTTTGAATCAAAAATCTAAGACCCATAAAATTAATTTTTTTGGTTACTTTATAGTAAAATATCTAAAAATATTATTTTACTTACATTACACCATTCTTCTCGTGTTTTTTCTTTGAATTTGTTTGCAATAATTTCTTTATTTTTCTCAAAATTATCCATCTGTTCAATGTCATTGATGTCCAATCCTAGTCCATTGATGAACTCTTGATAAAATTGTGGTTCTAATGCGCCGACAGCCATCCATTTACCATCTTTGGTTTCGTACGTATCATAGAAGTGCATTCCTCCATCCAGTCTAATTAAAAGTAATGAATACAATAATGATTATAATCATACAATCATTTATTTAATTTCAAAAAGTTTACAAACAAATTCTGTCCTTTTGGTTTTCCCCAAATCATTGAGTCTTGTGAACACATCAACCAACTTCCAACATAAGAAATTCCTTCAGTTATGTTGGCGTCAACCACCTGACCTTTTCCACTTTTGTATCTTTCTATGACTGCCATTAAAATTCCCATTACACATATCATACTACCGCCCGCGAATTCAGAAAAATTTACAGGAGGAATGGGTTTTGAATTCTTTGTACCATACAATGACAACAATCCTTTTAAGTTATAAAATAAGCATGTGGATAACTCAATGTAAAGCATTTGTCATTTTTAAAAAGTAAAACTTAAACCAACCTGACATGGCTAAATAATTTATGTCATGCCCAGCTCTCTGTGCATTTTGTCCATATGAACCATAGCCATTCAATCGTGCATATATTAAACGAGGATTTTTGGCCATCACTACATCGGGGCCTAATCCCAGTTTTTCCATTATACCTTATACATTTAATAATTAATTGTAATGTTTTAATACCAATTGTTTGGCATTATTTCATCCTTTAAGATGAGTAGCTAAGAATAATTACCGGGTCTATAAGGTTCAAGTACAATATCAGCATTAGTGATTAATTTCTGTGTAATTTCAATACCTTCTGGATGTTTTAAATTGATACTTATAGACTTTTTGCCACCATTTAAAAAGCCTGTAAGTTCCATAGCAACACTTTTCTAGAAAACAAATAAAAATATTAAAGTAGGTCCCCAATATCAGCAACTCTTTTTTGGAGATAGTGAAATTACAATAAAATAATACTGCTATAGGTAGTGTACTCACTTTTTGTATAACAGTTACATTTGCTCCAAAATCAGATAATATAGTACCAACAAAAGGCACCGGGGCAAGACCAGAAAATTCTATAACGTTTAATCCTTTTAACGGCATTTTGGTTTGAAAATACAATAATTGGAAAAAATGATCAAATGAATCTCTTTAATTTTTCTACAGATTTAAAAATAAAGTAGGTACAGTACTGTTTTTGATATATCCACTTTCCCAGTAGTCTGCCTATATATAAACAATATAACATGAATTAATTATTTGTTTACTTCCCCAGGTCAAGGGAGACTAACAGAATAATATTCTTATGATTTATTTCATGGTACTTAGTATGGTAATTCTAGTTTCTATGAATTAAAATATAAAAAATATATCATGTTATAATATATTCACTCCTAACAATATTATAATTATTAATTAATTATGTATTATATAATCTATTGCAGTATCGTCAAATAGCAGTTAATAAATGTTTAAATATACCTATAGTGATTGAACTCGATGGTCGAAAGAGTGAAAGCTAATAATTGTAAATTGTAATAAACCTTAGATCACAGATATAGTTGTGCGTATTGTGTATAACGTAATGTGTATTCATGTAAATGCATAGGTTTATAAATATGATGTATTATTAATTATTCATGATCTAACACTTAAGTTAGGCGACCTAACTATCTAAATATTTTAGGAAACGATTCGTATATTAATATTAAGCTAATTGACTAATAAATAATAAGTTAAAAAACGTATACCTACTAACACAGTGATAACAAATGTGAACGTTTCTGATTATAGTCAATTAAGTTGAATACACGATTAAAGATAATAATGTGTGGTTTAATATTATCACTCAACAGGTCTATGACCCGTTTTCAAAATTAAATCCATTGACAAAGTAGGTACTTAAATCATGAAAATATATTTTTATTATGGCAATCATCTATGTCTTTGAATGTAAACTCAATAAATTGATATTACACTTATGAGTTAGGTCCTAATCGATTGCTTGAGGTGCGATAGAATGGCATGGACATGGTCAGAAATAAAAATAAAAATCGCATGCATTCCCTACGTCGTCCAGATTAAATTGGGACATAGCACTATATAAATATAAAGCGTATTACAGATTCAAAAATCTAAATTGTAAACAGCTTCAAGCCACTTAATAATGAGCTGTAGGTTAGGTTAAAGACAACAAAAAATGACAATTCGTAAACCTGCAAACCGAATAAACGCATAATTTTATTATATTCGGATCATGAAGAATGAATTGACTACTATAAACTTATTAGTTAAGCTTAAACCCGCGGCAATAATGGCCATTGGGTGATATTTATAAGGTTTAAAATTACATAATATGTTTAATTGATAGGTGACGATATTCAAATGATAATAAAATATACATAAGTATCAGTGACGGCTCGTGAGGTTCATTGAAAGTGGGACACAAATATTTCCCTCATATTCCACTGTCACATCTTTGAACTTACCACCGATTCCTCGAGATTTTTAAGTAAAATATAATTCATTTTTTTTTATATAAAAACCTTTTAATATACTTCGTCTTGCACAACAAATAATTATGAAAAGAAAATTATGGTTTAAAAATAAATAATAAATGTAATTTTACGGTAGACGATAAGACTGACAAAATCTCGGAAAATCGTAATACAAATAGAATCCAGGTACAATCGGATTGTACCCGGCAACATCGTATTAATTCGTATCGAAAAAATGTATGCCCGCCACCCAATGCCCGTACTATGTCGTATGAATGTATGATATTATAATAGGTATATATGTATTGTAAGCAAGTATTTGATAACATTTTTTTTCCGATAATATTTTTAAGTAATAGGTATACCAAAAATAATGTTATGGAATAAACACCTACCCAATTTTAATTTAATATTTACAATTTTCTTCTGTCTTTCAATTTTGTAGATGAGGCACGTGCCCGTGTGCCCGATAGCACTAGCCGCCACTGATAGGTTTGTTACAGACACGGTCTCACACGATATTCGTAAATATAATGTTAGAATAAACCTTTATCAAATATGCATTTTTCAATAAGAAGAGTACAATTTAGAAAATAAATAATTATAATAAATTATATACCGTAACTACAATGATACTTGACATAATTAAAACAATAAAAAAATCAGTGAATACAATTGTGGGAAAAAAATTAATTTATAGACAATGACACTTGGTGACCCCTGTCCTCTACGCAACCACGACTAAAAATGCCAGAAAAAAAGGTGTTGGAATTTATATACCTGCACAATAATAGAACAGGTTAATAGAAAATAGATTCAAAAAAATATATTGCCTTTAAAATTTAAATGTTTGCATGAAATCAACCAATTTAAAAATAAACATTTATAATACGTAAATATAAGTGGGTGTAAGAATATTTTTTTCCAACTTTTTTAGTTTTTGAATGATATTGATGTTAAAACTCGAAATGTATAATATTATATTATAATAACTTTTTGGTAGAAACTGTGATATCCTTAGATGAGGATTAAATAACATATCAAAATTGCTTCATAATTACTTAAGAGTTTAAAACTAAAAATCAAAAACTAATTTAATACTATAGTACGTATGTTATATTTTCAAAATGTCACCTACAAATGAATCATTATAGTTGTCATTTTAGAAATACTTCCAATATTGCATGATTTGTAATTAAAGTTAGACATTGATCAGTGTCCAGTGACCTACTTGGAAGTGTTAGGTCTATATAGATATAATGCTAATTGCTTTATCAGTTATTGAATAGATGAAATCCCTTAAATTCGAATTTTAATTTATAATTTAATATTTATTCAACTGGGATGAAATTAAATATAAAAAAAAAATGTATGTAAGGTCATACCTAATATTTGTACATACTATTTGTTGATAAGCCAACTCCATCTAATATTAAAAAATTATTAAATAATATGGTGAATTATTCTAATTTAAAATGTGTTGTTATGCGTAATGAGTCAATAAAATAGCAAAAACATTTGTGGGTATAATTCTTACTAACAAACTAATAAAATTAAAATGTTAACACATATCTAGACATCCTAAGTCCTAGCATATAATAACAGAAATTAGTGTTGAACCCAATTGATACTTTTAACAATTATTATTTGATAAGTATTAACTAATTTAAGAAATCATTTTTATAGAACTATTCAAATATAACCTATTAAACAAGTTAATAATATATTAATGAAATACATTACCTAGTTTTTTCCCACATTAACCCATTAATCATGTATTCATGTGTATGACTTCTGAGTAGAACTCAGAAGTTATAGAAGCTAAAAAAGGAGAAGTATGAGAGGAGATGTAATAATCATAAAATATCAGCTACTTCAAAATTCCAAAGAAAATATTTTATGTTGTGATTCATTTACACTAAAAAATAATGTACAACATGTAAAATTAATTTATAATTGATTACTGTTTTGAAATTTTATTGAATTGAAAAAAATATATTTGAAATGAGAATACATTGGAATATTACAGCGATAGAGATTACCATTGTCTTTAAATTAATAGTAGACTGCGACAATACAAATAAGTACCTATATTAAATAATATTGAGTTTTATACTTTTTTTTTTTTTTAAATATTTATTAGAAATAAATAATCTATACAAGTAATGTACAATAAGTTTATGTGTTAAGAGAAAACAGGGACGTTAAAAGTCGAATAAGAAGCCACTGGCAACACTAAGTATGAATTACTTACACATATTTTTTTTTTTTTTAATTGTCGATGGTTGGAATCGTATATAAATATTACATATATATATATATATATTGTATATTTTAAATTGGAAGCTGTAGGAGGTCACGACACTATTTCCTTTTTAGTCTGCGCCTTGGATTTCCTGAGTTAGAGAGGAACAATGAGGTCCTTTCCACAGAGGACGTTTTTAATAAGAGGATTTTGGTGGGATAGAAGACGCATGCGGAAGAGCAAGTAGAAGAAGAGTTTTATATTTTATATTATTATTACAACTTGAGAAAGAAAAAGATTAATTTGTTTTTAGAAAATATTTAATATGCATAAAACGTGTGTAAAAAAAAAAACATACTTTTTCCCTAAAATTAACAAAATACTTATGCAAAATAAGCATTTAAAATGTTTGATTATTAAGCTCACCACTGTAAAGCTCAGATTTCTAGCTTAGTCTATGAATCGAGATTATAGAATATTGTGTAACTCCTATCACTTTCAAACCTTACTTAAGAACGACCTATAAGTTATGGAGTAACTATAGTTGAATGTGGAAACTAGACATTATATACAAACAATAATATCTGAAATGTAATTTGTAATTCTAATACCAAATTACTTTACTTTTTGTCATTAGTTCACATGCAAAGAATGTTGATAAATATTGTATACATTTTTAGAACTCAAAATGGCACAAGTAACAGAAAATAAATTAAGAGAATTTAACCTCCGTTGAACTCTGGCCAAAACTCAAAGGCTTAAGCAGTAAAGAATAAATCATATAAACAGAACCTCATGCAACAAAAACATTACGATGTAACATATAATCATGCACTGTACAATATTCACAGAAGCTAGAGAAGAATGTCAAATCTTAGATAACCTGAATGAAACAGTGGGACTCCATTCTGATACAAAAAAAAATAGTTTCTTTAAAAATCACTCCATACATCTAAATAATCTAAATCCAAGCTAATAACTTGGTAGTTGATGCTAAAATAGAAAAAAATTATCATATTATAATTCAAATTTCAAGTAGGATAAATAAAGTCAACAAATAAATTACTTGATTAATTGTCTTCATATTTGCTGCATAAAATATCATCAATGTCCATTAGAAAATATGCTTTAAATGGTTTCATTATAAATAATGTAGACAACAACTTTTGATCTCCCCAAAATTGTATGTTATCTATATCGGACCATTGATAATCTAAATAAAACATAACCATTTCAATATTCTACAAAGAAAAAACTAAAACTATAAAATACAGTCTAGAATTAGGGGCAGTATAAACTTAATCAATTTTGTATCAGAGTATCTTAATGTTTTATTTTTATTTTTATTTACCACAAAGGCACAAATCATCTGAAATTGTTGTTCATTTTCCCCAAACCCTTGAAAAAGAAAAAAATGTATCCATATAATTTTGATTTTTTCCCCTTTAAAAATATAAAACATAACTAATCACAAGAGTTAAAAATGATCTAAATATTATTATTAACCACCTACCACAACATTTCTTATACTGTCACTAATTAAAAGACCACCCAAGTAATTAATTTAAGACTCTACCATTTGATGGTGAAAAGTTTGATAGTTTTGAAACATCAATAACAAACATGTGAATTTCTTTAATAGATGGCATGTCAATGAGTTCAACATTAACAACAGCTACTTTTTGTACCTCCTCAGTAGTTATTTCATAATTACTTTTTAAGTATCTGAAACAATACAAATTTTGATGTTTCATCAATGTTCACCTATTACTCAAAGTCTCAAACTAACCTTAAGGCCGCATTTTCCAAAGACTCTCCTTTAATAACTTTTTCATGCCGTTTAAAGTCTTTAGATCCTTCAAGATTATTACAAATAAGCATTTGGTTATCTTTTTTAACAATTACATCAACCCAAATTTCCTTGGTCTTTTCGAGAATGTTTAATAATTGTATGGTACTATCCAACATGGTATCATCATTTAAATACTTGAAATGTGCTTTAAATGGTATTTCTTTCAATACCATCGGAAACCACAATTTATGATCAACCCACATGTTATTACACGGTAAGTTTTCAATTTTGAACCACTTTATTGGCGCCATTTCTAACATAAAATAATTAATTTGCTAATTTGTTTAGTAATAGAGGTTTATAATAAATATAAAAAATATTTTTACCATCAGATTCAACTATGACACCTTTAAATGTTTTACATAAATATACATGGCCTTCCAAAATTTCTTTTGATCCAACATACTCAAAATCTATAGTAGCAATTTTTTTCATGGATATGTCATCCACATCTAAGCCACATTCTTCTTTTACTTCACTGAAAATAAGAATTGTTTATTATTGCCATTATAGTGTTGTATAATTATATTACTAAGATATTCAAAAAATATTTTTATAACTATAACTTTTAAAAATATTGTTTACCGTTTAGCAGCATCAATAACTGTTTCATTGGGTTCTTTTTTGCCACCAAATCCATTCCATTTACCTTTTCCCATACCACGATTTTTCATACCCAATAAGACCTCATCATTTTTAAATATAAAAGTTAATGTCATCACCTTACGTGGATAAAATTCAAAATATGTAGGATATGACAACATATTATTTTGTTTCAAGTATTAATTTTCTAGACAAAAAAACATAGTTAACAAAGTGGATAGTACACTCAAAAAATACAAATGTAGTTAACTAAAATAATTAGGTAAGTATTTGAATGATTCAAATTTAGAAATAGCTGATCAATTTAAGTACACTTCTTGACTAAATAAGCAAGCATTATTAAAGAGCACAACCATAAATTCACTATTATTTTTTAAAATACAGATATAGATAACTAAAATTATCAAAAAAAGTCTAATAAATATCATCATAGGGTTATAAGATTGTAAATAAAAAATAATATTAGTGTCTAATACTTTTCAAAAATGTTAATATGCACATTACACAAAAATTCAATAGTGTCCATCAGCAGTGCTATAAAGTAGTAAGTTAAAATGGAAAACATTCCTCGAAGTTAATAAATAATGACCAACTAATCACTGTTAAAAATTAGATCTGAAACCTAACCAGAAAAATTGATTGTCAGACATGTGTCATACAAAAAATCAAAAAATCATTAAAATATTGGTTTTTTTTTTTATAGCTTGGAGTTACAACTAATATAGCTCAGCCACTATAGATACAAGAATACAAAATAGATAAATATAAGTCTTTACCGCGACTACTTAGTACTTGTGGGTAATAGAAGTCATAGAGTTTGTGAAAATCACTGGAATGTCTGGACTCCCTATTTAGTTCAGCGGTAAAAAGTCAACAAGCGTACCTCGGTGATTACGGCAAAAAAAGACAACAAATTTATAGGAACTATTATTTGCGTGACTTATGAACATTTAACAAACTATAACGCGAATGTATTAAATAAAGAACAGAAATCGAGAGTCAAATTTACCATAAAAATGAAATGTACAATACCGCCGATGGTAGTCAACAAGGGTGACTTGTGCAGTTGCGCTTGGTAGTAGATTTTATGAAGTTTGGAGTTTTAAGTCAAGTATTAAGACTAAAACAAAAAATTTGAATTAAATAAATTAGAATTTTTAGTAAGAATTAAGAGCCACCGCTCACAACCTGACACAACGCTACGTTCAACGTTGCTACTTGCTACAACAGGTCGAACACTGACCGGCCTACTGCAGTTAACTGATAACGCATTAACGCGGAATCATAGAGTGATAAGTGATAAGAGTTCGAAATACGGCGAGAATGTAGGTCGGCGGAGAGAAGGGGCGCGGTAGTTTTGCGTTGCCCGGACGTGCCAGACTGTTCGTGGAACGGATTGGAGTGATTGAACGTGCGCCCACCACCGCCGGCGCGCCATACTGCATAGCTATGGTGGGCAAGACGTGTAGCGAGCGGTATCGTAAAACGTAGTGGTAGTAGTAGTAAATAGTATAGTAGTATTAGTGGTCGGTACTCACTACTCAGTGCTCGCTAAGTGGCAACTCGGCGATTCCTCTCTGTGGCGCACTCTCTTCCCGCCGCCTTTCATTCATAATAATAACAAAATATCGTACACTGAAAAAGAGGAGGACGACGTCCGTGCGAGGAGGTGTGTTGTGTGCAGCAGACAGCAGTACACGGCGATCGCGCAAAACGCTCACACACAAACACACTCACGAATACGCGATTCATATATATATATATGTATAATAGCCGTACTTACGACACAATAATAATACTATAATAGACTCGGCGGACACACAATAGTACAATACACGATTTGCAATCTGTCGTTGTGCGGCGGACGTCGATCCGTATTATTCGCTATTGTGCATTGGTGCATCGTCCGCGGTTCGCGCAACAATCGCAAATCTTCGGTGCTCTCTTTCGTCGGCGAGTGATAATAATTTCGTTTTCGAGACGTTCTCTTGCAATACTGCACGCTCAACGGCGTGTGCGTACACCAATATATTATTGTTATTATGCCCGTCGTCGTCTGACCGGAAAACACGATCCAATCTCGAGAACGCATCCGGGTATCAACAGTTGTCATCGAGGTGAGTAATTTGTGTGTCATCCTCCTACGCAGAAATTTTATATCAATGTTCGTCCCGGATTTCCCGAGATTCGAGTCTAGTCCGATCCTATCTTGCTGACACTGACAGAAGTGACTAATCGCGTATTCGTATCCATTAAACTTGTATTAATTCGTACATTTAACTTGTAACTTATATAAGCACCGGTAGTCTTGCTGATCAGTGATCAGACAAGGTCTGAATGTTTGTCCTTTACTGCTGACAATAATCTGAATCTTTGTGTTTCGCACAGCAGATCTGGACATGGGATGTCTTATGTTATTGCATCAATCTGATTTGAAATTTGAATTTCCCAACATTTAATGCATATTATGCTTCAGTTGAATGTAAAACACACAATTTATAAGTTATAACATACCTATAATCTAAAATTAATAAAAACCGAAATGCTTGTATAGTATGCTAATTTCTTAAATAATAAAAATGTTGATTACCTTCAGAATTCATATTAAAACTTATTAATTTTTTATATATAGGTAATGCATATTGTATTCAGTTATATTCATATTATTCCCTGGCTTTAGAGTTAGGTTTAACCTAATCAGCATTTGCTACAATTGTTACTTATCTAATGTACCTAATGCTTTCAATAAACAATTTTTTTAACCTCATATTGTACTTGTAATCAAAACAAATACTGCTTTTGATTATAATACTAATACATGTTGGTCTAATCCTATTTAATCTGAAAAGAGTTAAGCATTACATTGATACAGCAAATACATTAAAAATTATAGTTATAATAGTCTACCTGATGTATTAACCATTATTATTAATTCTCTATACAATTAAATTTGTTAGAAATAATGAGTAAAGCATAAGTGTTGGTTGTTAATGATTGGTTGCTTATATATTTTAATAATCATACCTTATTTATGCCATAAGTAGGCACTTTAAAGATAAACTTGTATTCTCGGTCAAAATTCCTTTAAGAATTAAAGTGTCCTTGATGAATTTTGTATTCTGTTTGCTTATCTTGTATATTACAGTAATGTTTTCAGTACAATGGTATTTGTCTGCATGTCTAATATATATTGTTGATGTGATTATAAATCTAAAGAACTATGCTATTAAGTCATATAGATATATCTTAATTTTAAAACTGATGTTTAAAACATTTAACGTTATTCTCCATTCCAATATTGTTCATCCCTACCATATTCAGTGTTAGGTATTTTACAATTGTTATTTATTTGTACTTATCTAAGTATAATACGCTAATTGTAAACAATAATAATAACTCAACTAGATAGCTTCATCAATTATCAAGGCCATGATTTAAAGTCAAAAATGGAAGTTTTAAAAACATTTAAATGATTTTCTATTCCTTTAAACTCTATAACAAACTTGCTACCTTAGTAATAACTTATAATAATATAAAACCGAGTGTAAAACAAATTCAAGGGGAGTGGGTTAACTGCTATATCCTCCCTCGGTTATGTGGTCAAGGCGACCACCATTTGTTCATAATTATTAATCATATTAGTGTAAAATGTATCCTTCTATTTTCCTCCATTTATTTGATTATTACATTTTAATCAAATTAGATAGGTATCTATTGCATTGTATTATGATTAAAATATATCATTTTAAGTATACCTAGATACTTATTAATACTAAACAGTTCACTTCAGTATATTAGTTTTTCAATAACAGTTAATTGTATAATTATCTCTTTATTTTTATAATATTTAATAGAATAGTATCATTACTTTCACTTATAAAATAAGTGATTGTAGTCATGTACATACATTTAAGGATGTGCCTCAACATAAAATTCCTATTTTGTATTTCCTACTATCCTTTAAAATTTCTCTATGAAATCAATTAAGCATAGTAATTTTATATTATAGGAAATAGGTTTTTAAAAATCACATAAATTTAAGTATAACTTTATAATAAATTTTTTATAAGTACTATAATTAAGATAATTAGATTAATCAGTATTAAAAATGTAAAGAAACAAACCATATATTTTTCAAAATGACTATTTCTAGTATATAACAATGACATTTTAATGCTTAATCTTAAAAAATATATTAGTACATCAAAAAAACAGTTATCTAATAAAAAAAAGAACCTTACCTATACCTATCTAAGTATCTGTTATAACATGTATATGGTTAATTAATATTTTAGCTTTCTAAATTGATTTATTAACCATTATAGTTCTAATACAGAATTAATTTTTGGTTTTTGTGTTAAATATTCAAATAGGTGCATCATATTGTAGTTATAAGCCATTAGGTATTAATAATCTTAACTCCAGAACAATGAACATTTTAAGTACTGCATTAGTTATAGGTAATACTAACAGTATGTATATAAATTTACATTTCTTTAACTAATTTAAGGTTTCAATAATCAATAAATTTTCATATTGTAGGTTAGGTTTTGTATTTAAATATAAAATGAAAAGCTCTTCAGCAAAAATAAATACTAACCAATACTTAAAATTATAGATAGTTGACATAATATAAAATAATTAATTGAACAGTAGAATGATGACATTTAAATAAGATCAATAACTTAAATAAGTATATTAAATATTTCAACATTTTTATATTACTAATAATTGGTAGACATTTCTAAGAAATTAATGAATAAAAACATTGTTTAGCATATAACAATTAATTAACTATGATTTAACTGAGTTTAAAACCATTTAAAGATACTTACTAACGTTGGCATGTATAATTGGCATGTACCTATCTAAGTCATTTGATATTTACTGTTAGATGCCTGATTAATAATTTATAATTGTGATTCTTGACATATTTATAATTGGTTTTTTTTTTTTTAATTAAAGAACATATAATTCATACAAACATTTAATATTCCTAATTTTTTAGTTTAAAATTAATTTGAAAATAAACAAAACAATCAATTTCTGTTAATTTTTTTCATTATATAAATATTTTAAATAAGACTCATTTTGCAATTAAATTTTACGCAGTTTAATCTACATTCTTTTTTTATACCCTTAATATGTATTTTAAATTTTAGATGAAGAAGCGTGAAGAAATGCAAGTTAATGTTGCTGGACTAAGGAGAAATATTAAAAACATAGCACATAATTACTCTGATGCTCAGGTTGGTATAGTTTTTAATTCAATTTTTGATGATAAATTTATATCCTTACTGTTAAATTAACTTAACATATATATATATATATATATATACATTTACCTATATATTTAACATTCCTACTAATAAATTATCATTAATATTTTGACCTAGATTATTGTATGCTTTAATCTTATTAGTCACGCTTCAAAAATAAAAACTAAAATAATTATATTTTGCTTTACAAGAAAATAAGCTTAGCTTGGTACAAATTCATAAAAAATTATTTGCATACATTGTATTTTAGGTAAAAGTGCGAGAGGCAACTAGCAATGACCAGTGGGGTCCAAGCAGTACACTAATGGCTGAGATTGCCGACTTAACTTATAATGTAGTTGCATTTTCTGAAATTATGGCTATTCTTTGGAAACGACTGAATGATCATGGACGAAACTGGCGACATGTTCATAAAGCACTTATTCTTCTAGAATATTTAATAAAGACTGGCAGTGAAAAAGTATGAACTATCCATATTTTTTATATAATCTTATTGATGATTGATGTTTTTTTAAGGTTGCCCAACAGTGCAAGGAAAATCGTTTTGCTATTAAAACATTAGAAACATTTCAACATATAGAGGATAATAAAGATAAAGGACAAAGAGTAAGAGATACAGCTACACAACTAGTAGCTTTATTAGATGATGATGAACGATTAAAGACAGAAAGAGCACGTGCAATTAAAGCAAAAGAACGATCTGCACAAAAAATTTCTAGTTTTGGCAGTGATGGAAATGTAAAGATTTTTTGTTTATATTATATTTAAGTAATTTAATAATGGTGGTGGTTATTATGTATTTTCTTTATTTTTGTTTTTACGCTATACATTTGGTTAGACAACTCCACAAAGTCCTAAGTATCCATTGGTAAGTTCATTACGTAAGATTTTATGGTTTACAACAAAAATGCATGTACTATCTACTAATGTCTAATTGTGCAATAATAATAATAGTAGTATAATCTTTTAATGATACTTCTGAGACTGGTAATTAAAATATTAACAATTTAGTGATTGTATTTGTTTAAAACAATAAATTATTTTTAAACCATAGTATAGTATAGTAATGTTATGATTATTGAAATTATTCATTTTAAAATAG